GTTTGGCCAGATACAGAACCCAGAGAATCTGAGGCCACCACCTCCATCCTGCTGCTCCTTTCTGTGCCACACAACCCGTCGCCCTATGAGGTCTATTTAAATTCTATTAGAGTTTCACTCCCATGCCAGAACACCAGGGAACATTATGTTGGGGGGAATGAGGGAGGATGAGTCTCTTGTTATACCCTGATTTGAAAATGTTTAATCAAGTGAGTTTATGTAGTTAAAACCTCAATGCCACAATTATCAGCAGGATACCAAACCCACCAAGTAAGACATCTGGTTTTAATGAATTCATTGATATTAACATGACATTAAAAAAAGTATCAAGAGAAGAAGGGAGACTGGCTGACAGGACAACAGAACAAATGGAAACCAACACCGGTTGTCTTAAATCTTCCTCATGTCCACTTGCAGAAATTCCTTTCAACCACCAATACCACTTATTTAAGAATTCACATATGTAAATATATGTCCATATTTGATTACCTTATTTAAACTTTAAAAAATTCTGACTTACACACTACACCCCTATCATTTCAGGATAAATAATTTACAAAATAATTTTTGTTCCAGAATACAGAAGCTCTATTAGCTTTGAACTGATTAAAAAACACTTTAGTTACAGAAACAAAATTTCTACAAAACAAAAAGTAACCGACAAATGAAAAGCAAAATAGTTCAGAAAAAAATTGTAGAAAATATGAAGATTCATGTCTCTCTTATATAAATAGCATAAAGTAATTAGCAAGAAAGACATAAGATCCCTATAAATAAATGAACAAAGAAGATGAAGAGACAATTTGAGAAAAAAATCATTTTAAAAGAGAATTGGAGGGGAAAAAAAACTCTCCTGTCAAAAATAACAGTTATAATTGATCATTAATTCAACAAGTTCACCCTACCTATGTTTACTGAGTGCTAGCTTATTGCCTGAGGACACAGCAGTGAATAAAGTAAATATTCACACTGTCGATTTGGGAATATAAAAATGATAAATCTCACACTTTTCAGGTTATAATGTAACTAGATGCCTATCACACAGCTGTAGCATTTTCAATGTAAACTACTCTTGAGGAAGGGGTCATAGAAATTCTTGCCAATAATAATAATCATCATCATCATCAGAAAGGAAGTCAAGGCTACATATTGAAGGTTACCAGAAACCTCACTGATTTATTTAACACTATGTATTACCTCAACAGGAAGGCCCAGAAAGCAGAGATCTTGTGGGTTACCACTGTACCCCTCATGTCTAGAGCAGTGCCCAGAAATGAGAAAATGCCCCTACATGTGTCACGTGGATGAATGAATCCAGAAACATGGTCACTATAAAAAAAACTATACAAACCCAATTACCCAGGTCATTGTATACAATGCTGAAATAATAATATGAAAAAAACTGTCATATTATAACACATTGCAGGCATCCAAAACATAAGCAGAGATAAAGAATGGGAGAAAATGTGCAAAAATTAAAGCAGAATGCAGTTGTGAAATGGTGCTAAATATTAAAGGGATTACATTTAATTTATGTGATATTAGCACCCCACTGTTTTGCAGCATGGTAATTAGGTAAAGAATCTGAGTGTCAGTTTCTACTATGCCATTTTCCACCCTAACAAATGATTTTACAAAACTTTTCATAGTTATTTCCACTTCGTCTTAAAGTCTAAAGATAGGCTTTAAGTTGTTTTAAAGAAAACAACTGAGAGCAGTGTTTTACAATGTGTGTTTTTTGGCTCATCCATTATAGAATCACCTGCGGTGTTTTTTGTGAATTCAGATTCTACAACCCATTTCCAGAAATTGAATTAACAAATCTGAAACGAGCTCAGAAATGTTGAATTTTTAACTTGCAACTTAAGTAATGGCCTAAGAGATAGTAATCCATCTCCCTTCTTCACATGATGCCATTTAAACCTAAAGAGACTAACTTAATTACCTGAGCCAATTAATAGTAGAACAAGAATAAAAACCCATAACTGCAACCTCCCAGTCCAATCTTCTTTGCAATAAATGAGATTCCTCTTTAATAACTCTTCAACATTTGCTGTAATAGCTACCCTTCTACCTCTAGCCACTGTCTGTTTACTCTCTCTGGAGTAACTGCCAAAGTAAATTAGTAAAATTATGTATAAATCAGAGGCAAGAAAAATAAAAATAGTTCCTATGTTAGGGTGGTGTAGGTCAATTTCATTTTTTTTTTATTCTATTCGTGCTATTATGTGGGCGATAAATCCCATTTTAAAATAAAAATAATTAAGTTTTGTTGCATGTCACTAAATTAAATCCAACACAAATTAAGACATAGAGGTTCAAATCTAACATCACTTACATTTTTATGATAAATATATTCATTTCATCATCTTTAAAAAAATACACAAGATTACTCTGTGTGTGTGTCTGTATAAAACTTTTCGAAGTTGAATCAAACCATCTTAGGATTGTTTAGTGCTTTTCCTAAAACACAGGTTGTTGCCCTCACTGGCAGAAAGCCCTCTGACCCATTACTCAGCATGTCACCAGGTTTTTCACATGTGCTCCATCATGGGAGAAAACCAATGGGCAACTTTCCTCTGGAGAAAAAGACATATACCAGGATGCAAAAACAGATGAAAACGGAATGGTACGCCAGGGTCTGAACGTGGACAGCCTTTCTTAATGGCTCATTCTTGAGTCAACTAGTTCTTTAAGACTGACTAAAGATTAAGTCCCTTAAGACCTGAATCCATGCGATATAATGCAATTAAACACACACACACACACACAAATAGTATACATTTAAAGATGTGTGTGCGCGCACGCATATATATATATGTTAATGCATAGAAAAGACCTTGTATACAAGCATAAAAATATGTTTACTTATCAAAAGATGGAAAAGGGTTCAGCCTTAATGCTTTAATTTTTAAGGAGAATATACTCATTACTCATGTACATAGAAATGCCTCTAATGCACTGACTTCATTAGATGCCCTTTTTTTGCACCTCTCTGTAACTCCTGTACAACCTATTATTGCACTGAACTCACCATCCATCATATGTTCTGGTCTTGACTTTTCCTCTTGGAAGACAAGACTTGTATCCTTCTTCTCAGTAAACCCATCATTTTTAGTGTGCCTGACATGGTATACAATGTTTATTGAAAGCATACCCTGAAACTCCTGGACAATTAAATTATTCAGTGAAAGAATCCTTAGGCAATTTCTAAAAGTTCCCAAGTCAGAAAATTTCTCTTCAACCTAGACTTTAAAAAGACAGTTTGTAGAGCAGTTAAGAAGGTAGACTTAGAGTTATACAGCTCCGGTTTTAAACTCAACTCTGCATTATAAACTGTAATTCCTAGACCTATTACTTAATCTTCATTTTCCTCATCTACAAAACATAGACAAAAAATGTCTTCCTCCTATATTTGTGGTGAAGATTAAAAGGAAATGTCTACAAATTACCATTGTACCTGGTACTCAGCAAATAGTATTCATTATGCTTTCCACATTCAATTCCTAATACTAAAGCAATAATTTCATGTACATTTTCACTAATCAGAAAGTGTTAATAAAACTTTTAAAATATCTATCGTAGTCCTAGAGAATAACAGAAACTCAGACAGTTTAATGTGAGCAATGAAATTAATCATATGAACTCTATGCAAGTCTATCAAATCTTGCTATCAGGTCTATGCAAGTGTAAACTGAATACCTCAATTAATTTGGAAGAGTAACTTCCATACTGATACATGCAAATTATGCATTTTTAACCTCCATTCCAATAAGAAAAGTTGCAATCATCTTATTTTGTAGACTGAAATGTTCATATTCAATTTGTACACATTATTAAGCTATTCTTGAGAAACATACTAACTACTCACATTATTAATAGGCCAAGAGTGCTCAATGATGCCTTCAACTGTTAATTGGCTCAGATATCCTCTCCTCCAAAATATTCAATGCGTAAGTTCACACTAAAGTTCAGAGGATGCCTATAGTTAATTGTTCTGAAACTACTATGTGTTTTGATATTCCTATTTTTCTTATAAAAATAGTCGGCATTTATATTTCAACTTACTATAACCCATAATAAGGTATCATAAAATGAGTTCATCTTAGATCAGCTAACTAAAGTGCACAGTTCAACTCCACAATTATTAAGCATCTAATATATTCTAGGCTGAAAGATTTTAAAAGGAGGTATTCCAACAAAAGGGGTAAAGAATTATATATTATACATATTAAAAACATATACATATTAAAAACAAGGAATGTTAGAAAAAAGTCTATGGAATGAAATGAAGCTAACAGGATTTGTTAAAATTTTAGTTTACCATCAGACTCATCAAAACATTTAAATACTCTATTGAGTCCTCTGATATTAATCAAATTTAGTAAACCAGTCATTTGAATTGATTTTATTTATGTATATGTGATATGTGTGTATAAGTAGATGTATGTATGTATGTGCACTTGAATTTGTACTTATATAGACGTGTATGTATATGTATATGTATGTGTGTGTGTGTATATATATCTATCTATCTCACATACATCTGCTCAAAATAAAACAGATCAACATTCTGAAAACTCAAGCAAATATGTTACCTGTGTTTACCCTACAATTATCTATCATAAAAATAAAAGGGTGCAGAATGGATCCTATTTCCTTACCAGCTGTAATGGTTCATTGGTCCTTAATTGTTCTCTCATGTAGTTGTATAATGTTATTTCAACCAAATAATATTTTTCAAAACTTATTTTCAATAATTTTACTTCCTCAATACCATAAAAGGTGATGTCCAGTTTCAAGTTTGATGTAGGTACTTTCTTGCTGGTGGAGACACCAAGAAACTTCAACAAAATCACTATTTCTTCGGTATATTTAGTGGAGTACACAATGCCAAAACAAGACTCTATAAGTAAAATCACTAATAATTCTTCCAAACAAAACATAGTTGTTACTACAATAAAATAGCAGCAATCTGTAATGACTATAACAGAGCTCACCTGTTCGTTTTTGCAAAGCCACACACTGTTTCCACTTAACACAGTAAAAATTTTTGCCTTATAGCCTCTCAATTCAAGATATCCACATTTCTCAGGTGTAACAACGCCTTGAGACTGTGAGGTAAGGGATTGTGATTTCAGTGCATTTAATAGTATGCTGATCCAGTCATTTCTCTCCTCTGAAAATAAAGACAGGAGAAAACACATAAATCCATATATAAGTCACATAGATACAGAAACGACAAGAAGAAATCCACGCTCTTTGCAACACATAAGTGACAGATTCTTTCCACAACTACAATCTAAATGTTACTGTAAACACAGCAAATGACTCAATTCTTTGAGGGAAAAGGAGTAACACTATCCAGTTTTCGTGAAATGAGTTCCACTGGCTTTACCTGAGAGTTTATTAGAAGTGCAAAATCTCAGGCCCTACTCCAGACCTGATGAATCACAGGCTGTATTTTCAAAAGAACTACAGATGCTCCTTATCCCTTTTAATATCTGAGAAGCCCTCTTTTAGATCATTCATTAGATTAGATTTTCTTTTAATAGAAGAATGTGATATTGCTACCCAACAATTAACGGCTTTTATGTTTCAAGTCAGTTACTCAAAGACCCCGAAAATCCTACTTTCAAACAATCATTTGGAACCCACTCTAGAGTATACCTGCTTCAGTGTCACTTTCCCATTCCACTCTCAACACAGTAATTAACAATAGCATTTCACCTGGCAAATTAAAATTTGGTTCTCCTACTCCTTCCACAAAACTAAATGACCTTCAATTATGAACAGTGCACTGTGTTACAGGCATAGGAATTCGATCTAGTCTCCAAGGAGCAATTAAAGCTATAAGTCAAACAAGATTTGAACACAAAATGGAACACAGTAGTATAAATGTCATATAAATGGTATCAAATAATATATGAGTCAATTGAGATAAGTGATTTGCTGAAGGTCATATAGCAAGTTAGCTTTAAAATAAGCAGAATCACATGTTTTAACTCTCAAACAACTTTTCTTGGAACCATGGGGGTAAAAAAGAGGTACATGTGGTAGATCTTGAGAATGAAGAGCAATTCAAGAGACAAAACTGGAATTTGGAAGAGGGAAGATAATAGGATTCTGAGCAGAGGTTACTATAAGAACAAAGGCAGAAAAACCAACATCCATTCAGGGATAATTTATCAATGAATATATTTATAATTCTGAACTCACACAGAAATAATGGGAATATGACCACAGAATTCATACTGCCTGTTTAGGAATGTTGTCTTTATTACAAAGGAAAGCCATTTCAGCATTCTTAGCAATAAAAAGACATTATGATAATACAGACAATGACAGGTACACTACATTGGAAGCCTGAAGCTCAGGAATCAGGCAACGGAGACTTAAAATACTGTGAAAATGGAAACAAAATGACTTACAAGGAATTAAGGCATTTAGGAAAGTGAAAAAAATTAGTTGTACAAACATGATGGGTGTTGATAAGAAAAACAAATTACTTAGAATAAAAGTAATGTGTTGGCCGGGCGCGGTGGCTCAAGCCTGTAATCCCAGCACTTTGGGAGGCCGAGACGGGCGGATCACGAGGTCAGGAGATCGAGACCATCCTGGCTAACACGGTGAAACCCCGTCTCTACTCAAAATACAAAAAACTAGCCGGGCGAGGTGGCGGGCGCCTGTAGTCCCAGCTACTCGGGAGGCTGAGGCCGGAGAATGGCGTGAACCCAGGAGGCGGAGCTTGCAGTGAGCTGAGATCCGGCCACTGCACTCCAACCTGGGCGGCAGAGCGAGACTTCGCCTCAAAAAAAAAAAAAAAAAAGAATAAAAGTAATGTGGCATCAGAAATTGGCCAGGCAAACAAGCAGAATCCAATTAGTTAACAGAACCACCTCAGATTTTCAGGGTCGTGCCTTGAGCATACAGGCAGACTGATAGCACTATGTGAACAACAGTAACCTGTACATGAGAAGACCCATGGAAATGAATAAACATGAAGTGTAAAAGGGGAAGAAACTGGCAAACCTTGAGGTACAACTATATCTATAAGGCTGGAATTTGGGCTACCAGAACATAGGGAGAAGTAGTTGTCAAAGCAAAAGGAAATAAAGCAAAACATACTGAATCACAGGTAGTAAAAGTTTTCACAGGATGAAGGAAGAAGAGAAAGCAGGGCCCAGTTTGGGAAATGGGACAGTTTCTCAGATCCTTCTCAGACAGGTCTGCCCAGTGACTTAATTGTGGATTGAAATAAGTTACCATATCAAACTTACTCATATTTAAACATGACTCCACAGTTATTTCATAATGAGCCTTACTTTTTCAATTATAATTGTTCTTGTTCACCTTCAAAACTAATAAAAACAGTTGATGGTGTCTTTAATGACCAAAGTCAAAATGTTTATTTAAAAACTTATTCAATAGTGCATTATTGCAGGTGTCACACAATCTTCCAGGAATTGGTGCTTGACAGCTGGGTGTGGTGTCCCACACCTGTAATCCCAGCACTCTGGGAAACCAAGAGGGGAGGATCATTTGAGGTCAGAAGCTCAAGACCAGTCTGGCCAACGTGGTGAAACCCAGTCTATACTAACAACACACACAGAAAATTAACTGGGCATGGTGGCAGGTGCCTGTAAGCCAAGCAACTCGGGACGCTGAGGCATGAGAATCGCTTGAGCCCGGGAGACTAAGATCGAAAAAAAAAAAAAAAAAAACACTGCACTCCAGCCTGGGCAACAAGAGTGAAACTTCATCTCAAAAAAAAAAAAAAAAAAAGGAATTCTTGCTTGTTGCAATATATCAGGATGAAATATTTATCAAATGTCCCTAGTATTGTTATACATCCTAAATTAAAAGACATTAAAATATTCAAGTAGCTAAGTCTATGTCAATATGCAGCAGCTATTCTACATTTTTCCATCTGCATAAACAGATCCAGATTGCACTACAATAATTTATTACATTTTCAGTTACAGCAACAGACCTTCCATTTAACTTGGTTATTACTTGTGATCATTAGTTTCACACAAGATATTCCTGCCGAGTAAATGGTACATAATGGTTGTTTGTTTCTTTATTTGTGCTAATCCATATAAACCACTGTGTTTGAAACATAGGTCATAATTTAATGAGTTGGGCCTAAGTGTCTATGGCTTTTAGATTACTGCTAGCATATATTTCAGTTTCTCAGGAATTAATTTAAAACTGGCAATTGCACCTGTTGGAATTAAGCTTACTTTGGCTGCATCTCAACACGTAGCCTAGAAGAATTATCTAGCTCCTGAGGGCCTCAGTTACTAAAAGGAAGTAAACAATCATGACGAAGAACAGGAATTAATAGTAACATTCAGTTTATTCTGAATTACCCATGCCAATGGAAAGAAACAATGGAACAGATAATCCAAACACAATAAAACAGATTACAAGTATCATCTGTATTCGGCCATACAATGTGTCCATCCTGAGATATGGGGGAATATGCTTTCATAAGTCACAACATTCCAAACCAAATAATGATTTCCTGCTGGACAAGAGTCTAGGGCAAAGTCAGATACTGTGCTAGCTTTTGCTTGTTCTTCAAACCAAGATACTTTTTATTCTTTCCAATAACAAATATCTATTGAGTGTCTATCTTGATCTTAGCACTGTGCTAAGCACCATTTCTCCAGGAAACAAGCTCTGACCTAGATATGGCTTGGCTCTAAGAATAGCATTCCAGGCTGGACAAAAAGAAAGGGAGTGGAGAACACAAAGAATAAGTGTTGAAATTGCCAGTTTTTTGTGATTATGCTAGAATGTAAATAAAATACAATAGCAAATTCCTAAAACCTCAAATCAGTTCTTGATGGTTTCAGGAACGGCAGCTTAGAGTATAAGAACAATAATAATAAAAAAAGAGGTTTAAGAAAAATCGAGACAATATTCTCTGGACTACTGGGTTTAGCAGTAGGCATACTCCTTAGTAACAAGGGATTGGTTACACTAGAGATTACTACATAAGGGCCATGCAAAACATCAACAACATTATCTAATAAAGTTTAGCTGGACCTTTACTTTTGATATGATAGTATGATCTAACTAAAGTTCCCTCAATGAAATTCCTGATCAATATCAGAGAAGGAAGTAGTGCATTCACATAAGGATTGTTCTTCAAATTGATAGCCACTCACTCGTACAAATACTCACTAAGCCTACTATGTTCCAAAACCTATTCTGAATACCAGGAATGGAACAGTGAACAAGACTGACCATGACCTTACTCTCCTGGAAGTTTACACGCTAGTGAAAGGAGGAAGGCCATATAAACTTAAATATACATTACAAAGTGGCAAGTGCAATTGGTAACATACACAAGATGAGGGGCCCAGGGAGTGCTATTTTGTACAGGATACATAAAAAGCCTCAGAAGAAGGGGATGGTTAACCAAAAACCTAAAGGAAGAGGAAGTAAAGAAGCAGGTCCCAGCTGAGGAGCAGGCAGAGGAAGAGCATTCCAGGATAAGGTGAACATGTAACAAGGCCCTGAGACAATAGCAGATTTGGTGTATTCAAGGAACAAAAGGCCTCTGTAGGTGAACCAACCACAGTACAGGAGAAAGGGAACAGAAAAAGATAGGACAGAAAGAGCAAGGCCAGATCATGCAGGGGTTTTTGGACATCACAAGTACTTTTTACTCTCAGTAAGATGCAGAAACCGGCTGGGTGCAGTGGCTCACTCCTGTAATCCCAGAACTTTGGAAGGCCAAGGCAGGCAGATCACAAGGTCAGGTGATGGAGACCATCCTGGCTAACATGGTGAAAACCTTATCTCTACTAAAAATACAAAAAATTAGCTGGGCGTGGTGGCACACACCTGTAGTCTCAGCTACTTGGGAGGCTGAGGTAGAAGAATCACTTGAACCTGGGAGGTGGACGTTGCAGTGAGCCGCAATCGCACCACTGCACTCCAGCCTGTGTGACAGAGCGAGACTCCATTTCAAAAGGAGGAAAAAAAAAAAAAAAAAGATGCAGAATCCATGGAGCATGTAAAGTGAACTGACATGATTTGACTTCCTTACTGAATAACTGCTCTGACAAGTACAGGAAAAATATGACAAGTTGATCATGAGAGATGATTAAAACAATCCTGATAGCAGTGGAGTTGTTGAGAATTGGTCAGCATCTAAACACACTTTCAAAGTCAAACTGACAAGATTTGCTGATGGACTAGATGTGAAGTGAGAAGAAAAAGATTCAAGAATAACTCCACACTTCATGGCCTAAGCACCTGAGGCTTCTATTTGCTGAGATGAGGAAGATTACAAGGGAGAAAGTCTGGTTGAGCAGGTGGAAATGGGAATTTTGATACATTAAGTGTGAGGTGCTACTAGGCAGCCATGTTGACATGTCAAGTAGGCTGCTGGATATGACCGTGGAGTACAGGAAGAGGTCAGAGATGGAGATACATATTTGACATCAGTCACCCTAAAACCAAGAGATCACCTTCAAAACCAGACTTGGGGCCCCACGATTGAACATTTTAAACAGAATTTGGAGTCCTAGCAAGTTTCTAAAATACATTATGTCAGAAACTTCCAGAATATCATGAAGTCTTCAAAGTAAACACTTAGCAAATCATCATTAATGAGATTAAGGAGGGTGAGTAAGTAAAGGGATAGTAAATGTTTCATGCCTTGCTTATAAAAACGTTGACGATTTCAAAAGAGGTAAGAGTCTGCTTGCCAAAAACAACTAAGGAGGGCATTTATATGTTCTTCTAAAAATTTTTTAAATTAAAACAAAGACTTTTCCATATCAGTATCAGAGCTGCCACTGGATGGCTGTATGATGTTGTCTAAAAGCAGAATTGAGAGACAGCCACAGGGTCTAGAATCTGCTAAGGTGGACAGCAGCATAGGGCCTGCAGGTGAGTGCCAGTTCTGAAAATGGCCTTGGAAAGGGAACGCCCACTCAAAATTCTTAAGCTCTCTTCTAACCATGAGAACTGTGCACTCAAAACATCACGAGTGTTTTGAAGTATCATATCTCCATGTGTGACTTACAGGTGCAAAGGAATACAGACTGATTGGAGAGATCAATAGCTGTTATGACCCACAGACCAATTCCAGTGACTCTGCTTCAGAACAACAGCAGTCAGACCAAATTTTGTACTTGGGGAAGTGTTCTTTTAAAATGTTATTATTTCAATAAAATTCACTTGAAACTAAGAGAAGAACAATATTTCATTAGGAAACAGAGGGGAGGGGAATAGAAGCCTTAGAAAACTTGCGAGGAAAAGATTCCAAACTATAATCCTGTCTTAGTAACACCAGGGGGTGATGCAGCAGTTTAGAAATAATAACACTGGTCAGGGAAGACAAAGAATAGCTATTGTAGATAGGTCAAAGCCTTTTCACCAAAAATAAAGAATTCATATCTGTTAAGATGACAAAACTTTTTCCTTTTTGTTCTAAACTTTGATTTTGCTTCTTCCCTCAATCAAAATAGACTTTAATTTAGCTTAAAGTTCATTAAGTCAAAGTCCTTAAGCCACTATAGTTGATCTACCAATTCCCAAAAAATAAAAACAATCAATCATTTGTATACACGGAAGGAAAAAAGATCACTTAATAAAACATATTTAGTATACTGTTGAAAGTTCCATACTAAACATACAGATACATAAACATATACATATACATATATATATATGTACACACACCGCTACACATATTTATCTTTAAAATTGTGAGTTGTTACTATGTAAAAATAACTTTCAATCAAAATAACTCATTCACTAATTCCATGTGTATACAGTCTGTTTTCACTGAAGCAATATGTCTATGGTTTCAAAAATTAAAGACCTACAACTGATTTTTAAAACAATAAATTTATACTGAAGTTCATGAAATTTTTATACTGTCCTAAGTTTATATAACAAAGATGAACTATACACCACAGAAGGATTTATCTGTCAATTGTGAACATGCAACTTTTAAACATGTGTGGGTTGGTACACTCTACTTAAATAAAACGTGTCTGTTTAACTTAGTAAATATGGCTAAACAGATTTTCATACAAGTTGGAAGCTTTATTTAGTATGTCTATCTTAAAATGCAGGCTATGTACCAATGCGAAATTTATTTGGAGAGGCCAAGAGAAAGGTGATAAGCACCTCAAAGAAACAGGCAGCTAACTTTCACGGTGGTGGAAACCAAACCATAAGGAAAGACTGCCAGGACAGTCATTCAAGAGAAGCAATGCCACGTTCTTCAAGAAATAGAGTAAGAGAAAAACTGTGATTTCAAATGGAAGTCCCATATCAAGTATCACAACTGTGGAAAATTTTCTGAATTTCAGACAGTAATTCACAAAAAGTGGCTCCTCATACATACAGGTAATTCTAGGTAAAATGCTTGAGGGCAGGGGTTTGCAAACCTTTTCTTTGAAAAATCAAATAGTAAACATTTTAGGCTTTACTGGCCGCAGTCTGTGCCACAACTACTCAGTGATACCACTGAGTGAGAATGAATGAGAAATGAATGAATGACAGTGGTTGTTATCTAACAAGACTTCATTTACAAAAGCAGGCACTGAGCCAGATTAAGGCTGCAGATCAGTTTGCTGACCCCTACTCTGGGACTCTAGCTTTAGTTCAACATTATTTTTAAAAACCAAGAAAGAAACTTTTTTTAATGCTACATCTATACACTATGTACATAGATAGATATGTTTCACAACATAACACCTACTGTAGGCAATGCACTTTGATATTTATTATTTTCTGTTTGGGGTTTGTCTTTTTATTGAGAGAGAGTGTTTCTGGTGACATCATAAACCACTAAGTTGATCTCAGTAATCCACAGTTTGAACCATGCTGCTCCAGCGTGAAGGCCTGCTGGAATGTACCCATTTACTGAGTACCCCAAGAAACAATGGAAATGTTTTAGTGGTATATAATATTTACTGACTGCTTTTTATGTGCTATGCACTGACATACATGCCAGGAATCTAGCAGTTTAAAATAAAGAAAATGTTGCCCCATAATAGTTAAAACACTGTAGTCATTTCCAACTAGTGGTGAACACTCTAATCTGTAAAAATAGGATAATAATGGCCAGGCACAATGGCTCATGCCTGTAATCCCAGCACTTTGGGAGGCCGAGGCGGTCAGATCTCCTGAGGTCGGGAATTCGAGACCAACCTGACCAACATGGTGATATCCCGTCTCTACTAAATACAAAAAAAAAATATTAACTGGGCGTGGTGATGCATGCCTGTAGTCCCAGGTACTTGGAAGGCTGAACCAATCGCTCGAACCCGCGAGGCAGAGGTTGCAGTGAGCCGAGATTGCACCATTGCACTCAAGCCTGTGCAACAAGAGTGAAACTCTGTCTCAAAAAAATAAAGGATAATAATTGTAATACTACCTACATTATAAGACTGTTGTGAAAATGAAGAATTAGCAAAGTGTCTGGCACATATCAGATATTCAGTCAATTTCCTATACCATTATTATTCAAATAATTAAAGCACAAAGAAGTACTTCTAAAAATCACGTTGAATTATATATCTATTCCTAAATAAAAGTTGTCTATAAGTTAAAATCATAATTCTTAATGAGATGGTATTACCTAAATTACTAAAACTAGTAAATTTATAGTAATGACATATTACGATAATCAAATAAAATACACAACAGAGAACTTTTAACTTCTCTGGGTCCTCCCTGACCCTTATTCAAACAAAATTCAGAAAAGATTTCTCTACACACATTTAAACTCAATCCAGAAAACATGTGCCATCTTTGGGATCAGCTTTTACCATCAAGTGTCCCATAGATTATGTAGATGAAAAGAATTCAAGAAATATAAAAGATGCTCCTAAATTTACAATAGAATGATTACTGTGCCTGTGCGGTCAGCTAAAGCAGGGGTCCCCAAACCCCAGGCCATGGACTGGTACCATTACATGGTCTGTTAGGAACAGGGCCACACAGCAGGAGGTGAGCAGCAGGCAAGCCAGCGAAGCTTTATCTGCATCTACAGCCACTCCCCACCACTGGCATTACTGCCTGAGCTCCACCTCCTGTCAGATCACCGGGGGCATTAGATTCTCACAGGAGTACAAACCCTACCGTAAAATATGCGTGCAGGGAATCTAGGATGCGTGCTCCTTATGAGAGTCTAATGCCTGAAATGCCTGATGATCTGTCACTGTCTCCCATCACCCCCAGATGGGGCCATCTAGTTGCAAGAAAACAAGCTCAGGGATCCCACTGATTCTACATTATGGTGAGTTGTATAATTATTTCGTTATATACAATGTAATAATAATAGAATTAAAACACACAATAAATGTAATGTGCTTCAATCGTCCAGGAACCATCTTGCCACAACCAGTTCACGGAAAAGCTGTCTTCCACGAAACCAGTCCCTGGTGCAAAAAGGTTGGGAGTCACTGAGCTAAAGCCTGCCATAAATGTCCATAAAACCAACTAATAGTTAGAAAAATTGTTTTTGCGTATCAAATAACCATTTTGCATTATTTGCAACATCTCAAAGGCTAGCTCCATGAAAGCAGAGAATTTTGTCCACTTTTTTTTCACAACTGTATACCCAGAACGTATGAGTCCTCAGCACACAATAGCTTCTCACTAAATATTTGTTGATGAAAGAGAAAACAAATAACTTGTCAACTTATTTATGTTTTAACATTATGCATTTGAAAAATTAATTTTAAAATGTAAGTTATCAAAAAGTAATATATTTAAAGGTTTCTTGACATTCCTAGTCTAACTGATTTATTAATATGATTACTCATAAATTAATGTAAGTATTTCATGGGGATAAAAAATAATCTTACCTTCTTTTTCTACTCTAAAAACAAAAGTTCTTTGTGTTGTAACAACTTCAAATTTGTTGTCTCCTTGAACTCGTACTGTTGATATAGCAGAAAGGGGAATTATTCCTTTTGAATACATCTCCTGTATTGGTTAGAAAAAAAAAAGAAGACATATGAAAATGAAATTCTCTTGATCTTATCAAAAAGGAATGGCACGCTATTTACAACTGCTTCTCTTTTATAATTTCAATCCAAATTTTTTAAATGACATACAGGTAATACGTCCACTCATACTCTCAAGTAATACCCAAGAAAAGAAACTATTAAATGTCCCCTTCTTTGAAGTGAGATGTCTTTTCAACTTTCTCTTCATCTGGAATTAAAAGAGAAAGAATCAAATACAAGCAATCCTACTAGACTAGCAATACCGAGATCCAAAAACCAGCAGCATGTTCTTTCAAACCATCTGCTCAATATGATTTTATGGTGTTTGCAGGCATCTGCTGGCCACAACAGGTACTGTAACTGAACCATTTTAAAACAAGTCTGTTACATATTCGGAACCAAAATATACCTTAAACACATACTGGGTTTTCTAAATTAACCATGTTACTCAAAGCTCTGACGATGAGCATCTCAACCTCACACTGAATCATTTTAATGTTTACTCTCCAACGAATAAAGAAAAAAAAAGACAGATTTATCTGTTTCCAAACAGCATATAAGTATTACAAATTTTGTTTTTAAAAAAAGGCCATTCTTAGGACTTTGATAACTTTTTATCCATCTTCATTTTCCTGGACCCTCTAAAATCATGTCGTGATAACTACTGCACAATTTCAACTCTTGATATTTTCTGGGTCTCGTGTTGGAAAGAAAATTTAGAGTGTTTATACTTTCAAGGAGCCTCAAAATGAAAAGCCAGCTAATGCAATGAGAGAAGAGTTTAAAACTGAGTAAAAACTAAGGGATATAAAAGTACAAAGATGGAAAATCTCAATTCTGCTTAAAGGCTGTGAGGGATATCTTTACAAACATGGTGGTATTTAAACCTGACTTTTAAAAAAACCTTAATTTTAAGCAGATAGACAAGTGTGTGGGAGGCATTCTGGTCAAAAAGACCGAATAATGGAGGCGTAAAGCAGAGAAATAAGAGGACAACAACGTAGAGTCAAAAGACAGGAGACTGATAACGTATACCAAGCCACATTGTAGAAGGTCTGGAATATCAGAAGAGTTTGGATACATCCTTAAGGGATTTCTTTTTCTCTTCCCTTCCACAGCATTATCCTTGGAACCCACACTTTTGAGCAGGTCCCAGATATAACTGTTTTGGAAAAAAAGCAAACCATTCCATGCAGGAAGCAAGTATTAAGTTTAATATTTCTCCTAGCCATAAGCTCCTTCCTTAGCAATTGGTAAGGGACAGTCATCATTAGCATCATGGAATTCTACCGGAATTTTTTTCTCTTCTGCTATTTAAGGAGATACACAATATCATCATGGCATTATCTCTGAGTATTTTTTTAAGTTTCTTCTCCTTCACTAGCTCTGTTACAGTCTCCCATCCCTGCCTTTATTTATCCATCAAAATCCTATCCATTCTTTAATGTAACTTTAAATACAAATGCAATGAAGGCTCTCCTATGTCCTCCCACGCAGCCAAAACTGAGTATGGTATATGAGCTATGATTCAGGAAGATGAATGGGCAACCTTATACGGAAAAGAGAGAAGGATGTCAAGAAATAAGCACTTAGTAAACAACTTATTTCTTCTCCTTTTTACTTTATCTTCTCTCCCTATAAAAATCCCTTTCCACTATTTTTTTTAATTGTTTAAATTCACACATAATAAGTGTTCATATTTATGGGATATATAGTGATGTTATGATACAGTGATGTCGTGATACATATAAAATGTAATGATCAGATCAGGTAATGGGCATATCCACCATCTCAAATATTCATCATCTCTCTGTGTTGGAAACATTCAATATCCTCCTTCTGGCTATTTTAAACTATATTAAATTAGTGTTAACTACAATTATCCTACACTGCTATAGAACACTAGGACTTATTCCTCCTCTCTAGCTGTAAGTTCCTGCCCTTTAACAAATCTCTCCCTATGCCCTCCTTCTTCCTACCCTTCACAGCCTCTAGTATTCTCTGTACTACTTTTTACTTTGGTAAGATTCACTTTGAAAAAGGCTTCCTCATGAGTGAGAATATATACTGTTTAACTTTCTGTTCCTGGCTTATTTCACTTAATATAATATCTTCCAGCTCTACCAACTTTATTCAGAGTAATCTAAAATTTCTCTCTTCCTTTCTTCTCTATTCATTTCACTCAATTTCACTGCCATATTTCAAGTAATCAATAGTTTATGTAACTATCTCATACATACCACAAACTTTAAAACTGAATTTACTTTCACCTGAAGACTTACGCTCTCTTTATACTTGTCCATTAAAATATCAACTCTTCTAGTCCATCTGAAATAGAATGAAGTCATCTTTGACCTTTGCTGGTTCCTTTGCACCTACATAACTTGCATTCTCCCCACATCTAGAATCAACTTCCTCCCCACCACTCACCAACTCTGAATTACTGTCACATTGGTTTTCTTGAGGTTTCCTGAATATATCACATTTCTACCCAAGCCAGTGCCTTTGCATACACTGTTTGCTCTGCAAGGAATTGTTTTCACACCCATCTGCACATACTTACTGCCTCCTCCTCCTTCATATTTCAGCATAAATATATCCTCCTGAAGAAAGCCTCTCTGACCAGCACAATCTCTCAGGCCCCTCATCCTCATAGATAACCCGAATTTAAGCTAATAGCAACCTGAATTTTTCCTTTATAAAAATTATTCATTGTAATTTAAACGGTGACTTTATATTTACCCGTGTGATCATTTGATTAATATAGTCTCCTCAAATAGGCTTCAGGTCATTTATCTATGTTCCTCACCACCTTTCACGTAGCTAATACTATAGAAATATTTTCTGAATGGCTCATTTTTAATATTTCTTGAAATTCATTTCTTATCACTTCCGCTGAGCCTCCACTGAGCCTATACATTAGTCTACATGCTAATAAATTAACACCTGGCTTAGTGCAACAGTCTCCGGATTTGCCTCCCTAGTTTCAGTTTGTTTTCCTTCTGAATTTTCCTGCATATTGTTTTTCAAACGTCATACGTTGGAGAAAATAAAGAAAAGACTCATGGAGGTGAATAACAAGATGGGTCTGATGTTTGCAGAGAATGTTGATGGATGGCAATGGCTAGGGAGTCTCAGACGGAAGAACAAAAACACAAGGGGAACATGTAGGAAAAGACATGTTCCAGTTTCCCATAGTGTATACTCAGTCACTGTTTAAAAAGATCATTAGGCAGAGACACATGACATGATTGGCTTAACAAAGCAAACCCTGCAAACGCAAGTAGGTTAAAATGGCAATACAAGGCCAAAACTAGACCAATAAGTGCTCTAGAAACTCAAAAGAGGAAGGTAACATCTTTCCATTGTCGGTCAACCTAAGGAGGTGGGAAAGGGCACGGCATCTTTGGGGACAGTGTAAAAACCCCTCTCCTCTAAGTCTGTAGTGGCTGAGACCAGACAGCAGGAATTAGAATGCCTAAAAACATTTACAGTTTATCCCCTACGTGATCTGTTTCCAAATTGTAGTTTGCATAACAATTAAAGGAACTTATAACAATATCCCTCTAGTGAGATAATTAACTATTTGTTGAGGAAAATGTTAACAAAAAAACATTTTGTCACTAGAAATAAGTCAAGTAGCACTGTACTGAAAGAAACAGGGATCAAAAAAAGATTATCTTTCCAATAGATCCAATAGATCCTGTTAAAGAGAAGACAATTCCTTAATAAATAACCTACACACCTATAACGATATATTTAACAAGCAAATATTTCTGGTAGAATAATATAAAAACATAATTCCCCAGAGGTGATCAAAATATACTTAACAAGCAAAATACTATGTCACTATAACCATAGAAAGTTGTAGTTTATCTAATGGCTCATTTAAAATCTGAGATCCCAAGAAAAATCTTGTAATTTTTAACATTGTAGCACTGATTTTTGTATTTGTCTTGCAACAGTACAAGATAAAGACAATAAAAAAAAAATACTCAAATGACAACAATGCTCACAATGTCTATGTTTTTCAGAGTATAAAATTTTCCTTAAGGAAAGAAATTTTAAAGCATCCCTTGAGCCTGTAACACACAGATATCTAGGTCAAGTTTGTCATTTATCTACCATTTTGAGACAATGAAACGATCACAGGGCAATTCTGCCATAGCTGGGTGAAAACGGGGGTGAGTTAGATTTCTTTACAGGGGATAAAATATCAGGGTTGTTTGGATCATGCCATTTTCTGTGATATAATGAAGAAGTCCTTATAGAGACATGATTGGCGGCCTCAAGGAAAGTGGAAGAAACCTAGGGAATGTGTAACTCTGCACACTACCTCCCAAAGGCCCAACCACATGCTCCTCAAGTGCCTATTTAAACATTAAAAGAACTGTGCTCCGTTCACACAGCTGTTAACACTGGGTCACGCAGCCACAATAGCGGCTATGGCCACACCTATGCATCCCTTTCGCTAGAAGAGTTACAACAGAAACCATGCCTCCTTTTAGGAAACACCGAATCCAGTGTTTCTGTTTTTTGCCAAAATGAAACCAACCATCTAGACAACAAATGGATGAAATGTCAAAGAAAATAACAACTTAAACTTTTTAATATTAAGCTAAATGATTTGCAATATCTCATTTTTATATGAACTCTTTAATCTCAATTTCAAACCAAGCTTCATCATTTTCATTGCATCAATAACTAAAAACGTGAGAGGTCCTCATCTCTTCACTGCAGTTCAGATGAGCTTTAAAAGAACAAATTGACAGAAAGAGGGAAAAAGAATCCAGTTTGACACAGTTACTAGAAATTATGTCAAATGAAAATAATGGTACCACCAACAACAGTCTTATGGCATGGAAGCCTGTCTCGCTTCTGAGTAGTTTTCCTCCTCATGTCAATCAAACCAGAAAAGGTTACAGGTGATGGAGAAAACCAGCAGTGAGATTCTGTCAGCTATATAGACTACCTTCTCCTCACCCTAGGGAACGAATTGTCTTCACATTCAAATGTACAAGCAAACTAGAAAAAAAAAAAAAAAAAAAAGCTAAAACAGAAAACAGCTTTTAAGGCTGGTCACGGTAGCTCATGTCTGTAATCCCAGCACTTTGGGAGGCCAAGGCGGCAGATAACTTGAGATAAGAAGTTCAAGACCAACCTGGCCAACATGGTGAAACCTTGTGTCTACTAAAACTACAAAATTAGCCAGGCATGGTGGCTGTGATTCCAGCTACTTGGGAAGCTAAGTCAGAAGAAGTGCTGGAACCCAGGAGGCAGAGGCTGCAGTGAGCCAAGATCGTGCTACTATACTCCAGCCTGGGCGACACAGCAAGACTTTGTCTCAAAAAAAACAAAACAAAACAAAACAAAAAAACACAACAGCTTTTCAAAAATATTCATCCAACCATCTTGCAAATCTCCAAGAGGTGTGTTTATACCCATCTGATGCTCTGAGTCACTGCAAAGTGAAACCAAACAATTAACACCTCTCTGTATCTTCCATAATTCTCAGCCATAGGGCATGCAGTGTGTGTTCTGTTGCACTATGTGTTACTGTCTGTCTAAAAGCATATATTCTTCTGTCCTGAAGCAATAAAGAAGCAATATGTAAGAAGATGCCTAAATTTCTATTAGAACCATAGGTATTGCCAATATTAGGGGGTGAAAATCTCTAAATAATGAGAAAATAATGTTAGATTAAGAGCTACAAAAAAAAAAAAAAAAAAGCATGTGGTTAAATCTTAAAATTAGTATGTTAAGAGAAAGTACATACTTAAGACAAAAATCATCTGATTTTAATTAACTAAGCATATGGTATGATATTTATTAGTTGCAACTTCAAATTCTTTTCATGTTGAGAATCCACCTCCTATTCTTAAAAACCAAACTGCTTGCTTACTTTACTGAAGTACACCTAGTATGCATAAAAAAGCAATTTTTGAAAACTGTAAAATGTATTTACCTTCTCATTATTGTAGTAAGAAATGCTAAGGCCATCAAATTTCACCCATCTCTTCTGAAACATGCGTTTTCTGCAAAACATATGAAATTGTTATTTTACATTCAAGTACTATGAACTTAGATTGTTAAATACATGTGTAATATAACCGTGTAAATATATTATCATTTATTGTTAAACAGCATAGACAACAATAGGTTATGATAATATACAGTTTTGGCCATGGCACATAGAAAAAAATAGCATAATAGTACTTTCTAATCAGTTGACCTACGATTTTTTTTTAATGACACAATTAACAGTGTTGTCGCACACATTTGTAAGGTTGAATGTAAAATAAAATATGGTCAGAAACACTATCACTCAATCCATTTCTAATAAAAGATAATCCTTTCATCAAAATAATATAAGCTTTCATCCCTCATTAAGCTTATATATCTATTTTATGTTCCCTTCACTTTTGTTTTAAGGCATAAATATCTTACTAAAATAACAAGGCTTTGTCAATTGGATTTATATGGAAAACACATTTAATTTTGATTGAATAAGCTGAAGAAGACCTGAACAAATATACAGAATCATTTATAAGCATTCAAAATTCAGTGAAACATTATTTTTAAATGATCATATGAAAGGCAAAGGTAGTTTAAAATGGCTACTGACATGAAAAACAAAAGCAAAATAATATAATCACAGGTTTCAGGCTTAAAAGAAAAATGAAACTATTTTTCTGACTATATAAGGAAGAAAGTGAAGAACTGTTTTCACTTAGGATTGCTTTTTATTGTTATTTTATATTCTCCTTCCCTGAAGGCAGACAATCGTAGGTACTTTTGGTCTTTAACACAGAAAACACATGAAAATGAACTTCCTATTTTTAAAAAATATTATTTCTAAACAAACATCAACCCTGTCTACCTTGTGCTTTTGCAATTTTCTAAAATGTTTAAAACAAGGAGTTGGCATAACTTTCCTTGGCTCTCAGAAGACTTAACAAAAAAAGAACTTCAGGAAGTGTAGAGAGCTTGTCTCTGAGCTGGTTCCCCAGCCACACATCTATTATGCAAGTGAAACACAGCAAGCCTCCCAAAAAAAAAGTTAGCAAATATGTTCTGCATAAGATAAAATTATACCAAATCTGATCAAATATAAAAAAAAGTTTTTGAGATTCTTCAGTGCAGACATTTTCACATATAAGCACTGAATTAATTATGATGTAATAAGATCATGTAAAGATCTTAAAAACATGTAACCACTTCATATTTAACTCTAATTACAGGGAAAATAAAATAAAATAAAAATTTTGGCCAGGGGTAGTGGCTCATGTTTATAATCCCATCACTTTGAGAAGCTGAGGTGGGTGGATCACTGGGCAACACGGCGAAATCCTGTCTCTACAAAATATATTAAAAAAAAAAAAATAGCTGGGCACGGTGGCGCACACCTGTTGTCCAAGCTATTTGGGAGGCTGCAGTGAAAGAATCATTTGAGCCCAGGAGGTTAAAGCTGTAGTGAGTTATGACTGTACCACTGTACTCTAGCCTGGGCGACACAGTGAGAGTCCTATCTCAAAAAAAAATTACTTTAAAAGCATGTTACTACAACTGACCACTCAGCCCTCTTTCCATCATATTTTTCATCTTTCAGCTTCTTTTTAACTTTTCTTGGCCTGTCTGCAATGGGTTTTCCTCACTTTGCAACATCTAACAGTGTTAGAGGCATCTAGCTTTTACTTTTTCCAGCAACCCAAGATTCCTTAAATTATCAGCATTAAATGTTAAAAGATAAAGCTATATTAAGCAAACACACAATAATTATACACTGGATAAATTAGTCACTTTTTGCTCATTTCATGTTTATCTCTTCCACACTTAAAGGCAGAGAAATACATACCTTCTAACACAATCCAAACAGTAATTCAGTAAATCATGATTTTGTTTTGGAACACAACCCACTTCACGCTGTGAATAACAGTAAGCTAGAGCTCAATTGCACATATAATCTTCCATTTTAAGATAAAAATAATTAACATCTGTGGGGGATAGAGGCCTTAGGGCCTCCCATTACCCCACTATTCCCTTTGCTGACTCCTTATCTTTCAGTTACATCTAAACCAACTACAAAGAAATCCCTTCCCAATGACCCGATCCAAAGTGGATAACAAAGTTATTCTCTCTCACAATACCCTCTACTTTTCCTCACAGCACTTAACACGACCTCTAATTTTAAATATTTGTTTATTTGCTTAATGTTTGTCTCCCATACCAGGTCTTATGCTTTACAAGGACAACATTTATTTCCTTCCGTATGATCAGCAAGTAGTGCAGAGAGGAATATGGCACTGAAAAAGAATTTGCTGAAGGAATGAGTGGCATGATTAAAAGCACAGTCCTTCTGGCACCATGGGCGGGATGACAGACAAATAAAACCTCAAATGATCAGCCCTCATAAAATCAGCATCTTTTAAAAGAAAGGTTGAGGGAATGCAAGAAACTTTAGAACACTCAGAATTAAATTCAAAGTTTTGAAACCTGCCAAAACATCAAGTGTAAAAGGTTTGCAACCTATTTTTACATGTCTTACTTAAGATTAACTGCAGCCACTCCAACTCATAAAATTTCTTAGAATTCCATCACCATCTTGATAGATAGTTTGTGGTCTGAGGCATCATCCAGGAACTTAATATTTGTGTCCACAGAAAAAGCGAAAGAGGGAGAGCAGATAACTTAGTATGTGTTAGGTTTACGGATCAGTCGAAGATGCAGCATTTGACTAGCAACACCTTCCCTCTCAGGTGCTCATAATGCAAAGGACACACCTTACCACTGGCTCTCTGAGGAAAACCTCAGCCTCTGAGAGAATCAGCTCCTAAGATATTCTCCCAATTATTTTAATTTTTCTCAACTGCCAGGTGACTATTTGATGTCTTCATCTATTTTTAACTCAATAGTTTTAAAGATTATTAAACCTCTTTAACATTCTATGAAGGGACAGGTAAATAAGACAAATCCCAGCCCATAGTGAAATGGAATGAGAAGCCACAGGGTGTAGCAGATGAAAGAACAACCGTCCTACAGGTGGAGAAAGCTATTCTGCACTTCTACCATTGAAAGTTGTCTTCTGTGGTCATCCATTCATCCAGTCAGCCATCCAAATCTGCGGATACATACTCCGTGGACACCACTCTCTGGCCACACTGCCTCTCTTCTCCAGACTCTTTCTTGCCTCATGGCCTTCCCATATGCCATTGTCTCTGCTTGGAATGCTGCCTGCCTGCTCCTAACATGGCTGGCTCCTGCTTATTCTTGAGAGTTCACCTTTAATGTCTTTCCCATCAAGTGACCATTTCTGACTATGCATAGATCATTCAAGTCTCTTTGTTCTCTTGCTCCATTTCTTTGCTTAATTACACTAAACAGAACGTGTAATTTTATATTTGTTTTTGCTTCATGTATCACCCATACTACATTTCTTTTTCCTGAGCCTTTTCTTTTTGCAAAATAGGCATTTTATTGATACATATTAATTGACCTATTTACGGGGTAAATGTGGCATTTTGATACATGCATACAATGTGTAATAATCAATCAGGGTAAATATATCCATCATATCCAACAGATGCTGAGATCCTTGAGTACAGAATCCATTTCTGTTTTGTTCATCAATATAAAACCAGGAACTATCATAGTTTCTCACACACAAAACATACTTAATATTTAGTGAAGAAACGAATGTATTTTTCACTGAAAGACATTTACTTGAATTTCTATTGTATAAATACAGAAATAAACACTACTGAAAAACTTCATCCGTAATTTTATTTTTGCAAATATTAAAAACCAGATTTCTATATGACAAAATAAACACTTTGTAAAACTACTGTTGCAGGATCCTCGGGGTGTCGCTTTTCTGGCCAGAAGCCTCTGTGGCTGGCGGCGCCTTTGCCTGAGTTCTGCTCTAGCCCACTGGGCTTGTTTCACCCATTCGGGGTGAGCAGGCTGTGCTCGGCTGACGCTACCGGCCTGGATCCCGTAACTGCCGACGGCGAGCCAGGTGTGGAGCAGTGAGGGGTGTGTGAGCAAGCGAGCATGGGGTCCAGCCACTGCACACAGTGAGGCACGCTGGCTGCTGCAGCGGGGCAGCCAGCACCAGGTGTCTGCACAGGCGCCGGCTCTCTGCAAGGCTGCAGCCGGACCGGGCACACCACAAGCAGCTTCCACGGCTGCCACCAGGAAACATAGTGGCGGCTGGAAGCTTGAGACTACAGGAACCTAAGAGGTCCAAAGAGGGTGTCACAGCCCTGCCTCGGGGCGCTTCCAGGTCTCAGTTCCCCGAAGGGCCGCAGCTCTTCTCTCCTTGTTTTCACGCATAACACGGTGAGAAGGCGAAGTGTTTCGGCCCTGTTTGTGTTCTCTCTTTCAGCCCCGGCATCTCTCAGGTCCCAAGTTCTTGTCCCGTGTCCAGGAAGAATCAGGTATATAGACAAATGGAGGGTGAGCAAGGCGAAGAGGAGCTTTATTGAGTGACAGAATAGCTCAGAGCAGGTCCTGGGTGGGGAGCTCCTCTCTGTAGTGAGATCATCCGATGTCTGCAGCTCTCAGCAGAGAGTAGGCCCCGGAGTGGGTAGCTCCTCCCTGCAGCAGGTCGTCCTGATGTCTGCACAGCTCTGGTTGATCTGGGGGCTTTTATGGGCCTCAGGGGAGGAAGTGCACACCAACTGGTCCATGGGCGGCCATAGGCAGGCCCAGAAAAGGCACCACAAGTTCCTACTGTGGTCCGCAGGACTAGTCGGCCCCCAACCTTCAGGCCCTCCCTGGCCTGAAGGTGGGGCTTCACCGAGGACCTGCTCCCTTCTGCCCATGGTCTAGCTTCACCTCCAGTTGCTGTTCACAGCGCCCAGGCTGTTCATGCCAAGAGGTGTCTGCAGGCCAGTGCTGAGTTGCCCTCAGTGCTCCCTCGGCTTTCCTCCCTCCCACGCTCATCAGGACCCAAAGGCCAGAGGAGGGCCCAGGCAGCAGGGAGCTGGCCTATCAGCACTTCCGCAAGAGTGCACACATCCAGATAGGCTGTGAC